CTGGCATTTCCTTCCAGGGTCTTCTCTGTTTAGCTAAAGTCTAAGCTAAATGTTTCTCAGTGCCTCTCCCTTTGGTCAGAGGAAATAGAGGAAGGACTGCTTCTTAGCTTTCTGTTTCTCTTCAGCCTTCATCTCTAACGCTTGTTGCAAGCCTTTTTGTACTTTCATTGTGCTTTCTGAACCTTCTCTTCGACCGTGAGAAAACAAAATTGGTTCTGATTTGGGGTCATGACCTGACATTTGCTGAAGTTTGTGAGGGTAAAGTCACCTTGCTGAGTGACTCAGCTGCATATAAAATGTTTGAAAATATACTTTTCCCCCTTGACTATAAGAGTGATTTTGTTGTTCAGAAAAGTTTTTAGAATATAATACAGGGTCAAGAAGAGAAGAAATGGTGGACAACCCTTCTGCTCAGATTTTTCTATCTGAAAATAGGGTCGTGCTGTATATATGACTTGTTCTACTTTTTTGCTCACCCTCATATTGATATTTTGATAAATCCCTGAGCAATGAGACTAAATCCTAGTGCAGCTCAGGTTTGGACAATGTGCTTGGTCAGAGGCTCTTAGCAGGACCTGCTGCCTAAGAACAGAGGAAGATGGGACCGATGTGGCAAGCTGGTTAAGCTGCCACCTGTGACACTAGCATCCCACATGGGTGCTAGTTTGAGTGTCAGCTGCTCCACTTCAGTTTCAGCTCTCTGCTAATGAGCTTGGGAAAGCAGTAGAAGGTAGTCCAAGTACTTGGGTCCCTGACAACGCACAAGGGAGCTAGATGGAGTTCCAGGCCCCTGGCTTCAGCATACCTCAGTGGCAGCCATTGTGGCCGTTTGAGGAGTAAATCAGTAGATGGAAGATTTCTATTTTTTTTAAAGATTTTATTTATTTATTTGAGAGATAAGGTTTCAGACAGTGAGAGGGAGAGACAAAGAGAAAGGTCTTCCTTCCGTTGGTTCACTCCCAAATGGATGCAACGGCTGGAGCTGCGCCGATCTGAAGCCAGAAGCCAGGAGCTTCTTCCTGGTCTCCCATGCGGGTGCAGGGCCCAAGCAATTGGGCCATCCTCCACTGCTATCCCAGGCCACAGCAGAGAGCTGGACTGGAAGAGGAACAACTGGGACTAGAACCCAGCGCCCATATGGGATGCTGGCACCACAGGAGGAGGATTAACCAAGTGAGCCACGGCTCTGGCCCCGGAAGACTTCTTTCTCCCTCTCTGTAAACTGCATTTCAAGTAAAATAAATAAATCTTACAAAAAAACAAAAAAACAACAAAACAACATAAAACAGAAACAAAGGAGGAAGGAGCAGCAAAGGCTGCCTGTGGATACTTGCTCTGCCTTGATTTCCCTCCTGCTTTGTAGACGTCCTCCCTGCCTTGCCCTGGCTCTCACAGTGACTCACTGCCCTACAGCCTGCCTCTCTGTTGGTGACCCAGCACTCACTGCATCCCCAGTGTCTCACTCCCTGTTCTGATAACGCCCTTAAGCCAATCTTTATAGATTTACTTGCACTGGATGTTGCTGGATCCTTTTATACCTGGCCTAGTGTCTACATATTTGCTGATATTTGTTCTTGTCAGCTTTCATTTTCTTTTTTTAGAGTGGCAAAGCAAGAGGTCTGTTTTGCCTTCTTTGGCAGTGCCAAAGTATGAACCCTGAGAATTTAGTGGCCAGTGTGGTATCTTTCCTTTTTACTCACACACACACACACACACACACACACAAACAAAAAATGTTCTGCCCAATCAGTTGAGTCCAATAAAACCTGTGCTTGTTCTTCACAATTCCACGCATTTGTTCAGCAAGCATTTATTTAACACTTTTTCTGAACCAGCCACTGTTGCTAGACACTGGGTGTACGTTGGTGAATAAACCAAAATTTAGTTCCTACTCTCTTAGTCTTCTAGGCTAGTTTAATACTAGATATAAAAGAAAAAAAATGCACAAATAAATACATGATACATAATAAATTCAACTTGTGATAAGTGTTATGAAGGAAAGGGACACAGTGCCACAAGAGATGGCAATAAAGGGAGACCAGCATGGGAGGGTGGTGGGGGTGTCTAAGACAGCCTGTTTGAGGAAGGGCTGAAGCTGAGGCCTGAAGAGGAGGAGATGCTGGGCCCAGAGTGAGGGGGCCATGAGCTCTCTGTGGCAGGGCAGTGATCCGAAGGTAGAGCGTGATGAAGAGAAAGGGAATTGGAAATTGTTCATCTCTTTGTTTTAGTCACTATGTATGAGCAGAGTCTCTCTGTGTCATAGGGCTCTATGAAAATTTTTTTGAGATTTATTTATTTATTTGAAAGGCAGAGCTATAGAAGGCAGAGGCAGAGAGAGAGAGAGAGAGGGAGAGAGAGAGAAAGTCTTCCATCTGCTGGTTCACTCCCCAGATGGCTGCAATGGCCAGAGCTGCACCGATCTGAAGCCAGGAACCAGGAGCTTCTTCTGGGTCTCCCATGTGGGTGCAGGGGACCAAGGACTATGGCCACCTCTGATGCTTTCCCAGGTGCATTAGCAGAGAGCTGGTTCAGAACGTGGCACCAGCCCCTATTAAATTGTTTTTAAAACAGTTATTTATTTATTTGAAAGGCAGAGTTACAGAGAGGCAGAGACAGAGAGAGAGAGAAAAAGAGAGATCTTCCATCCGCTGGTTCACTCCCCAGATGGCCGCAATGTCGGAGCTGCACTGACCTGAAGCCAGGAGGCAGGAGCTTCTTCTGGGTCTCCCATGTGGGTGCAGGGACCCAAGGATTTGGGCCATCTTCTACTGCTTTACCAGGTCATAGCAGAGAGCTGGATTGGAAGTGGAGCAGCCAGGACTAGAACCGGCACCCATTAAATTTTTTAAAAAACTTTTCAAGGGCTGCATTTAGCACTCCTCCAAATGGATAGTTTGCTTTGCTTTTTTTGAGCAAGTCTTTCCAAATTTGCTGTCCTATCCCATCTTTATTGATATATTTACTGATATTTTGATCTGACAACTGGGAAAGGTCCTAGCAAGTCAGGCTTTTGGCCCCCCACCTCCTTATTCAACAAATGAGTTAAGCTTGTTCCCAGTTGCAGATGTTGTGTTGAACCCTGGGTCCCGACTCACTCTGGAGTGGGGGAAGGGTTTAGAAGAACCTCAACCGCCTACCGCCTCTGGCTCTTCCTCCCCAGCCAGGAAAACCAACCCCTATATGAGCAGCTATTCCATGACAAGGGAAAACAGCAATTGAATTTTCCTTTGAGCTGGTAAGATTTGTTTTAGAGAAAAACACTTTGTCCCAGCATGAATAAGAACTCATTCCTTTGGGGCTGTAGTGTAGTGGGTAAAGCTGCTGCCTGCCGTGCTGGCATCCCACATGAGCGCCAGTTCGAGTCCTGGCTGCTCCACTTCTGATCCAGCTCCCTACTATGGCCTGGGAAAGCAGTGGAAGCCTGCACTCACGTGGGAGACCTGGAAGAAGCTCCTAGCTCCTGGGTTCAGATCGGCGCAGCTCTGGCCATTGCAGCCAATTAGGGAGTGATCCAGCAAATGGAAGACCTCTCTCTCTCTCTGCTTCTCCTTCTCTCTCTGTGTAACTCTTGACTTTCAAATAGATACATAAATCTTTAAAAAAAGAGAGAACTCATTCCTTCCTTCTACAAATATTGAGCCTTCCCCATTTCTGGTACTGCTTCAGATGCTGGATACAGCAGTGAACACCTTACTTGTCTGTAAAGGGTCAGGAAAGACAAATAGATAAGTGAAACTGGGATGATGTCAAAGGGCTATGATTGCCACAGAGAAAATTAAAGGAGGGAAAGCAGGGTAGGGAATGCTGTTCCGGAGGTGGAGACAGGTGTTGCCATAGTTATGAACAATGGTCAGGAAAGGGATCACTGAGTGACACTGAGCAAAAACTCGGAGAGTCACGTGGATATTGGGGAAGAGCACTTGAGGCAGAGGGAACATTACGTGCTGAGGCCCTACCTGGGGTATATGAGGATCCGCCTGGTCCACGGGAGCTTGAGCACAGGCAGTGAAGGGTAAAGTGGGAGGAGAGGAGGCGAAGGGGACAAGGGAAGCCCACCTGTGGGGCTTGCAGTGGGAGAGTGAATGCCTTGACTTTTCCTCTGGTTAAAGGGAAGACATGGGAGGCTTTGGGGCAGAGTGCTGGGAAGTGAATGCAGGGGCAGTGTTGTTAGTGGGCTCTGCATGAAAGTGGGCCCAGGTGGTGGTTAAGAGGGAAGGGTATAAGGCCACCACAAAACACACCAGACACCGGAGTTAGAGGAATGGTTTATTGTTGGGTGGGGGAAGCTGGACGGGCTGGGGAAAGAGAGAGGAGGGGAGCATAAGAGAGAGAGCACGTGTTTGGGAACAGGTCTTGTTAAATCTTTGTGAGGGGTGAGGTGCAGTGGGCAGGGAAGTAGGAGTAGTGAGTGGGGGTGGAGCTGACACCGGTGGTTGGGTTGTGGGGCTTAGGACCAAAGCCTGCGGGCCAGGGCCTAAGATGGCGAGTGAGGCATACAGGTGCCACATTGTACCATTTTACTAACAAAGGGGGCAGTTATTTTAGAGATAGTTTGAGGGTGGAGCCAATGAACTTTGAAAAAAAAAAAAAAAAAAGACCAGGGGAAAAGTAGATTTTAGGTGGGGGAAAGATTAGGAGTTCATTGCGGCAAGTTATATTTATATCCCCTGTTGGACATGGGGTGCATGTGTCAGGAAGGTAGATGGGTGTATGGGTCTGGGTTTAGGGGGGAGGGCTGGGTGGGAGGTATGGCTTTGTGAGCCATCTGTGCACATACTTTTCAAAAAGTTCATAGAACTAGGAATTAAAAGACAAGTTCATTTTGGTGCAAAAAAGTTTGAGATCTATGCGTAGTCACGGCTATTTACTTACACAGAAGTCTAAGTGAGACTGTGGGGTGACTGTGTGTTGAGCAGGAGAGTCAATTCCAAGGGAGTGGGGAGATGAGAGGGAGGTGGAAACTGGGAGTGACTGGTGTGCTCTCCCCCCGGCCCGGGCAGGTGTGACAACGTGCGTGTGTTTAAGCTGGGCCTCTTCTCCGGCCTCTGGTGGACCCTCGCCCTCTTCTGCTGGATCAGTGACCGAGCCTTCTGTGAGCTGTTGTCCTCCTTTCACTTCCCTTACCTGCACTGTGTGTGGTAAGTGCGGGTGTGGGGAGTCGGTGAGAGGCCCGCGTCTGCACTTGCTGTCAGAACCCCTGAGCCATGCAAGGTGCACAGGTGTGCTCTGGGGCCAGCGCACAGCCAGGTGCACCTGTCTCCCCTGACAGAGAGGCAGGTGTTCCAGCACGGAAAGTATTGTGAAAAAGCAGTCTTGGCTCCAGGCCAGAACAAAAAGACCTAATTGTTATGCTGCAGGTCTTCAGCCTCCTACTTCTGGCTCCATTATTAAAGCAAAGAAGAGCTTGAAAAGGGAATCTGTAACCTGAGCTCTGGCTGGGAGCGTGGGTGGAGGAGTGGGGAAGTGCGGGACAAAATGTGATGTGGACACTGCAGGTAGGAGCCATAACTTTGGGACTCGAGTGACCCCAGGAAAACTGCAGGCCTCACCTGCCCTCCAGGACAGTCTCAACTTCTCTGTTTATAGGTGGAGACAGAAGACTACAACTAAAGTGTCACCCACCCACTTACATAAAAACGACCTTGGAGTTCAGTCTTTGCAAATTGAAGCATCTGTAGTTTGGAATGCTCAGGCTTCACTGTTAAGTTAAAAAAACAAAGACAGGTGACAAACCCGCATGCAGAATCCAGAATCCTACACTAAGAAAGCCCAGGAGAGATCAGGTGGCTTTCATGGCTGTCTTCCTGCTAATCGCATGAGCGCCAAACCCAGAGAAGTCGTTCCTTCTTTGCTGTCTACCACTTCTGATTGTGACACATGACTAGGAGCCCGAGCAGTCTGCTGTTCCCGGCTCTTGGAGACAGCTGTGAGTGTGCAGGGAGGGTAAAGAATTGAAGGGCATTAGGTGCAGACTCACAAGCAGCTTGCTTCCATCTGGAGGTGGCCTAAAGACGCACACTTGAAAGAACTGACTTCATTTCCCTTCACGTATGAGCGTCTGTCTGTTTACCATGAGACCCAGCAAGCTTTCAGTTTAAGGCTCAGGGACTTGCAGAACTGTGTGCAAAATATAAAGCATAAAATGGCACAACCTGGGGTTTTCAGTAGTGGGACCACTGCTTGACATTTCTTAGGTTCAGCAGTTCATTTTATGTATTTGTTGAGTTACAATTTACAGATAGTGAAATGCACAGATTTTAAGTGTGTACTTTGAGGTTTGGTAAATGTACACCTATGTAAATAGGCCTCATTCAAGATGTTGTAAATATTTATCACCCCATAGCCTCTTGTTACATTAATGATTAAAGGGGCCGGCACCATGGCTCACTTGGTTAATCCTCCGCCTGTGGTGCCAGCATCCCATATGGGTGCCGGGGTTCTAGTCCCGGCTGCTCCTCTTCCAGTCCAGCTCTCTGCTGTGGCCCGGGAAGGCAGTGGAGGATGGCCCAAGTGCTTGGGCCCTGCACCTGCATGGGAAACCAGGAAGAATCACCTGGCTCCTGCTTTGGATCGGCGCAGCTCTGGCCGTGGCGGCCATTTGGGGAGTGAACCAACAGAAGGAAGACCTTTCTCTCTCTCTCTCTCTCTCAATGTCTATAACTCTACCTGTCAAATAAAAAAAAATTTAAAAGAATTAAAAAAAATTAATGATTTAAGTAAAATTCAAAATTTAGACGAGGTAATAACTGTTCAAACAATTTTTTTCTGAATTTACTTCTTGCTTTGTTTTTCCAAAGTTAAATTATCATTTCTTCCAACTTATAAAATGACATTTTTAAAAGCATAAGAAAATGTGGCTTTTATAATTCCATTCCCCAAAGAAATATTGCTAGCAATCTGAAATGCATCCTTCCAGATTTTACCTATATACATATATATTTCCATCTTTATACTTAAACGTTGTTTATTTTCATTTTATTTGAGAGGTGGTGATAGTGGGAGAGAGTGTGAAAGAGAGACAGAAATATCTTCCATCTGCTGATGTACTCCCAAATGCTTGCAACAGCCAGCACTGGACCAGGTGGAAGCTGGGAGCTAGGAATCCAATCCATCTCCCATGCAAGTGGCAGGGACCCAAATACTTGAGCCATCATCTGCTGCCTTACAGGGTGCACATTAGCAGGGAGCTTAGAATCAGGAACAGGGCCAAGACTCAAACCCAGGTACTCTGGTATTGGATGTGTGTATCCTTGGGGCCGGCGCTGTGGCGCAGCGGGTTAAAGCCCTGGCCTGAAGCGCCAGCATCCCATATGGGTACCGGTTCTAGTCCCAGCTGCTCTTCTTCCGATCTAGCTCTCTGCTATGGCCTGGTAAAGCAGTAGAAGATGGCCCAAATCCTTGGGTCCCTGCACCCACATGGGAGACCCGAAAGAAGCTTCTGGCTTCAGATCAGCACAGCTCCGGCCTTAGTGGCCATCTGGGGAGTGAACCAGTGGATGGAAGACTTCTCTCTCTGTCTCTACCTCTCTCTGTAACTCTTTCAAATAAATAAAATAAAAAAATTTTTTTAAAAGGATGTGTGTATCCTCAGAGGTGTCTTAACCACTAATACTAAGCATCTGCTTTTCTTCCAACTTTTTAAAAACAAAAATAGCATCTTTTTACACATGATACATGTGTACACTGTCCTTTTTTTAAAAAAGCTAAATACTAGATCATTCCTCATCAACACAAATATATTATCTTCATTATACAAATTATCTTCATTATACAAATACATTATCTTGTGTTTAATTAACACTCCATGTAGATGCTTTGTAATTCATTTAACTAATCTCTGTTAATTGATATGTAGATATTTCTAATTTTTTTCCTTTTGCAAACAATATATGATTAAAATCTACAGTGATTCTAATACCTGAATATTTCCATAGGTTAAATTGGAATGTACAAATAACCGAATCTAGAGAGATTGTGCCAATTACCACTTTTTACTAACATCTGTAAAAGAGTATATGAACTCCTTTAAATCTCTGTTAACCTAATTGGTGGAACAGATTATATTTAGTTTTTGTTTTTGTGTTTAAAAAACAATTACTGTTGTTATTGGGCATCTTTTCAAATGTAAGTTTGCTATGTTCATTTTCTCTTTTGAAATGTGCCTTTCATTTTTCTTTTTGTCTTCTCTGTTGAGTGTTTCTATTTTAAAGCATTTAAATACATGCCTGGCACATAGTTAACAGTCACTATTGTCTGCACAAGTGCATGCCATTTATTATGCAAATTTGCAGCATTTTCAAAAGTGCAGAGAACAGTAGGGCCCCCACATGGGCAATGCCCAGCACCCATGATTATTAACGTGAAGGAAGCCTTGTGCTTGCCGCCCTCACCCATACTGTGGTAAAGCACGTTCCAGAAGGGATACGAAATGATTGGTTTTTTCATTGTTCTTTGTGGGTAGGAATTTTAATTCTTTTTCACATGGTACAAATATCCCCCCCCTGGTTTTCCATGTGCCTTTTAGTAGGTTGATGATATTTTTGCGCCATATTTGTTTTAAATGTTCACGTTGTCCCCCCGCCCCCTTTTTTTAGAGTTTCTGCACTTTGTGTCATTCTAAGAAAGGACCTCCTGTTGCCACCAAAATTTATAAAGCTATTTTCTTTTTATGTTTTTAAAATATTTTAAAACTATTTAATGTATTTGGAATTAAAGTGTAGAGTGTGTAGAAGGATTTCACGCCTTCAGATGATCCATTGCTTGACAGAGATTAATATGAAAAATTTTCACAGGCACAGTAAGGGTAAGCTAAAAAGAAAAAAAGAGTTTACCTGCCGAACTATAAAAGTAGTTTAATCAATATAGTTTTATTCCTGGAAAAGGACATAAAATATCTATAACCAGTTGTTAAAGGGAGAATCAGATGTGTTCAGTTATTTTCAGCATGACACCTCTTTTTTCTTTCTTTTTTTATTTGGAATGCAGAAAGAGCAAGAGCGAGAGGGAGAGAGTGACGGAGACCTACACACACACACACACACACACACACACAGATAGATAGCTTATAGACAGACAGATAGATAGATCAGTTGATCTTTCATCTACTGATTTACTCCCCAAACACCTGCAATAGCTGAGGTTGGGCCGGGCTAAAGCCAGGAGCCTGGAACTCAATCCAGGTCTCCATATGAGTAGCAGTGACTCAACTACTTGACCCATCACCTGCAGATTTCCAGGGTGTGCATTAACAGGAAGCTGGAATTGAAAGCAGAGCCAGGACATAATAGGCACCTCATTGTGGGATGTGGGTGTCCCAAGGAGCATCTTAACTATTGGGCTACCCCTGGCACCTCTGTTTTTAATCCCTGGCCTCCGTCTTTCTGGTGGAGCCCCAGAGGCATTGGCACCTTTATGCACTAAGATGGGTCCTAAATTGCTGAAGATTTATCATCCTCCTGGTGTCTCAGTGATGAATGGTCACTTTCATCCTCTCCTAATTATAAGATGCCCCTGGACTGTAATTACAGCCCAGACAGGTGGGATAGCCTGGAGGGAGGAGCATGGGAAACGGAGGGCGATAGAGTCTTCTCACCTTTGATCTCCATTGCAGGCACATCCTCATCTGCCTCGCTGCCTACCTGGGCTGTGTGTGCTTTGCCTACTTTGATGCAGCCTCCGAGATCCCTGAGCAGGGCCCTGTCATCAAGTTCTGGCCCAGTGAGAAGTGGGCCTTCATTGGTGTGCCCTACGTGTCCCTCCTGTGTGCCAACAAGAAATCACCCGTGAAGATCACGTGATGTCAGGTGGCGGCTGGCTGCTCTGCTTGTTTTTCCTCATGCACTGGACTTCATTTGCTAGCAACAACAGCCAAGGGGGTTTGAATAGTTGGTGTGGGATCTGTCTTTTTAAAATTCTGTTCCCATGGGCTCTAGCTAGTATGTTTGTGGACTACCAGGATTCTTCTGTGCCCCCGGAAGAAGTGTCTTTCTCTTTCTCCAAGGTGGAAAGTAAGGGGTTTAGGGACATGAGTGTGTCTTTCCAGAGCAGTGGCTTGCTGGACTGCAGCCCCTGGGGGACCTAGCACTGCACACTGTCTTTCTCTCATGAAGACGGGCCGGCCTCAGACACCACCATTCTCAGGCACTCTTGGAGTGGACTGTACGGTTGACAGGCAGAGCCTTCGACAGACAAGACCTCCTGACTCTGGAAGACTCCAGAAATTTTCATTTGGGGAGACTGTCCTTAAACAAAGCCAGACAAATGACATACATGTAGGGCTGTGGCTCAGGAAAGCTAGTTTTTCACTTGCAACTCTTAACTAACCCGAGTTCTACTTGCATCTGTGAATCTTTGTATCACTACCTCTGTGGAGAGATGGAGAATTCAGAGGAGGGTGAAGCTAATGAGTAAAACACTCTATGCCAAAAACTACCCTCCACTTTAAGCCATTCTCGAAGGTGAGCACAATTTTCAAATGTTGACATCCTTTCTGCCTCTACCCGCTGTCAGCTCTGTAGCCTCAGATACAAGAGACGAATAGCCGTGATGAGAACACGCACCAACCTCCTGACCTCTTTGAGGGGGTCAGAGGGCTCTTCCCCATCATGGTGGAGGTTCTGGTTCAGACTCTGGGGCAAACCTGACGTTTTTGGAAAGTTTTCCTCATTGGAAGCCTCCAGCGTGCTGTGTTCTGGGAATTACCTTCCAGGATCCCGCCTCTAGTATCTCTCCTATTTCTCGCGCTCCGCCCCCTTACAGGACAAGGTGCTTCCTGTGGTTTCTCAGAGCGATTAACACCTCTCTTAGACGTTGGCAGTCGCTCCACACTGGTTGGCCGGCAGGGGTCGCTGGTGAAGCAGGGCACTTCTGTTGCCTTCAGAGTTTTTCCCGCCTAATCAGGCACCGGCTGCAAATTTGCTGGGCTGAATGGGAGACTACAGCACTGCCCTCAAGGGGCGGGGCGGGCATTCTGGACCTCAGGGATACTCACAGCTCAGCACCTCCGGGGGAGGGCAGGGCTGATGTGCCCTGTATGGACAGGAGGTGGGTGCCTTGCTGTCCTCAGTTCCTGAGGGTTGAGAAGTAGCAGTTTTCCACACATCCAGGAAGGAACTCATTCTGTTTAGAATTTGCACATATTCCAAGGTCAAAAGACCAGCAAGCAAGGGGATTTAGAGTTCAAAAATGAATAACTTTATTCTTCTCCAGTGGTTTTCATATTACCTGACCAACAGAGCCTTATTTGTCATAACAAATATTTTTGAAACCCCAAGGTGTAACATAGTTGTTTTTATTAACTCAAAGTTATTGTAAGCCTAGATTTATAGAGTTTATTTGCAAACTGTGGAAATACAAATGAAAAAGTTGGTCATTTCCAAGGTAGGAAAGTTTGGTATTGAGTGTACATGGCGTTTTATTGTAGTTTGAGATGCAGTGTAAAGATGGCCCTTGAATTAATTGTTTGTGGAACTTCAGTGTACCTCTCTAGGATCTAGGTGGTTTATGGAACAGAACTGCTGTTAAATTCTCTGAGTTGAAAGTCTAGAATGTTTTAAGGGGGAAAATACAAGAACATCCTCATTTCAGGTGGCCCTTCCTAGGCATGAACTCTATTCTCATCTCTTCTGCTGTACCAAAATGCTCTATAGTAGAGGGCTTGGTATATGTTAGGTCCAACTGTCTTAGTGTGGGAGCATGGAGAAGGAAAAGCAGAATGTAGGCAGTGATTTTTTAATGCCAGGTTTAATTTGTCTTGAGGGTTGCTCGGTAATAAGAGTATTGTCTTACTCATTAAGGAGGGACCCTTTCTCATCAGTGAAAGGACTTAATCCCTGGGGACCTGGATGACACTTCCACTTCCAGCCCGCAGAAATGGAGATGAGATGCTAAGAATGGGTATAGGAGTAAGGCAGGGAGTCCCTCGGTGGGCTGCTTCCATCCCTGTCTGACAAGGCCGTTGACTAAGGTAAGTTGTCAGGAGGATGCTGTTGATGTGAAAAGCAAAATGCACTTCTAGAGACTGGTTTTCAAGAGGGCTGAGACGAAAATGTGGAATGGGATGTATTTCAGAAGGACAAAACATAGCTACTTTTGACAAAATTCACCATACTTTGCGAGCATAAATCAAGAGAGTGGTTGGGTGTATGGCATCATTCATATTTATATCAAAGCTCTCCACACTGTTAAGAAAGAAAATTGGGAAACTACTGAGAAGTTGAAGAATGAATGAGAAATCACCCACATTTCTATTGCCCAAGTTCATCACTGTCAGTATTTCGGCAGTTGTTCTTTCATTTTTGTCTTTTTTTCCCCTAATGTAGTTGTAAATAGACATCTTCTGAACTGACAGTTTATCCTGTGGCTTCAGTGGAATATAAATGCCAGTGTTGTATTTTTTCATGAAGAGCAGGTTTAGAATACACTAGAGCAGCGATCACTTGAATATTTGTCACTGGATTCTTCGAGTCACTGCTGAATCTTCCTTTATAAGCAAGCCTGACCTTGAGTGAACCCTAAGACTTAATAAACCGGATTCTACTTTTTGATAGACTGCTGCACTTGGATTGATGAGTCATGGCAGGTAGCTATTAAATATGTGACTCCACAGATTTTGATGCGTTAGATGTTTTTTAAAAACTATCATTAATTGATGTGCAATTACAAATGTCCCTTCCCCTCAGCAGATTCGACATTTAAGAGTTTGGTTGTGGCAATGGGTGATTAGCCTGGCTGTCAGATTTTGTTGCCGTTAGAGTTTGCCCAAGATTGATACCCAGCAGGACCTGGATTTAGGATATAAGAAACCATTAATGGTACCAAGTGACCATTTCAATCAGCAATTCTTTTTTTTTTTTAAAGATTTTATTTATTTATTCTTTTACTTGAAAAGCACAGTTAGAGAGAGGGAGAGACAGATCTTCCATCAGCTGGTTCACATTTCAAATGAGTGCAATGGTTAGGGCTGGGTCAGGCCACAGCCAGGAGGCTGGAACTCCATTCTTTTCGCCCACATAGGTGGCAGGGTCAGAGTCCGAGCACATTAACAGAGAGCTGGATTGGAAGTGGTGCAACTGAGACTCAAACTAGCGTTCATGGGATGCCAGTGTTGCAGGCCGTGGCTTAACCCTTTATGCCACAACACTGGCCCATTTATTGATTATTGTTTCCCGGTGTTTAATTAATTGTTGATTATTAGAAAAAGAAATATTTCTTCCCCTTTGTGATTATATGTTTGTTTAGCATGCACCCCAGTGAACACATTTTTGAAGAATGCGGAGATGAGATATTTACATTCATCTGGTAAATGGGCTACATTTTGGAGCAACTTGGTGCCTATTCAATGAGGAGTGCCTAAAACATAAATTATGGATCAAGATGTTCTACTGGGGGACAAAGCTTGGTGGTCACCAGCACAGGCTTTGTAAAACCTGCCACGTACACCATTCATAGCATTTCTTAGGTGTCTAAGGACTTCTCCCGCCGGTTCATGCTTCCTCCAGTCACCAGGGCCGTGCCGAGGCTCCAGGGCTGGGAGTTGAGCTTCATCCCTCAGGTCTGCCATGGAACCACCTGGGGGACAGGTGGGACTGAAGCTTGGCCCACCAGAGCCCCAGCTCCTTTCATTCTCAAATGAACTTGAAACTTTCATAGCAAGGGCTTTTCCTGGGTGCTGTTTTTCCAGCTGGTCAAAGAAATGTCTTGGGCCAGACAGGGATTCTCAGTGGATTTTGTAGACATCATTCTCCTACTTAACAAAAATGGCTCCTACTCTAATTGCTGGAACTGTATCTTTCCCTATGTGTTGAACCAGTTTTAAGATTATGTTATAACCACAGTAGGTAATCAGAGCAAATATGCATAGTGGTTTCAGGTATAAAGCTTATTTTATACTTTGTATAGGGTGTGCTGTATAAGTGTGGCTGCCCACTGGCTGTGGTAGCATTTAATCTCCATTGCTTTGGGGGTGATCAAAGCCTTTTGAAATGGAGCCTTTGCACTTTATGCTCTTTTTATGATAGCCACGTTTGATATTAAAGCTGAAAAGGGGCATTTTCTGTGAATGAATATGTGTGTGTTTGTGTCTATTTCCAAAGTGATTTGTAAGCATCTGCAGAGAAAATGCATTTCATGGATTGTAGAGCAAAGCACATTGGTCTAAATTCATTTTTTGATGACTTTGTTATTAAACATGCTTAAAAGAAGCATAGTCAATTGTTGGTTTCTTTTCAGGGCTGTGAAATTAATACATGTAAACATGTCCAGCACAAAGAATGTAAAAGCAGTTTATTTTATTACATGTTCTATGATTATGGTAACAGATACAAAATCTCAAATATGAAAAATAGTTCAGTGGTGCCAGGTTTTACCCACTCAATGGAAGGAAAATCTTGTGACATTTCAATATCTTAAGTGACTTCAGCAGGAATATCGATATCTACCTATTGCTTTTTCTTAGTTTCTTGTACTAGTTTCTTTGTTTTTATTAAATAATTCAAAGTTCATCAGATTTAAAAGAGTAATGGGGGCTGGCGCCGTAGCTCACTAGGCTAATCCTCCGCCTGCAGCGCCAGCACACCAGGTTCTAGTCCCGGTCGGGGCACCAGATTCTGTCCCGGTTGCCCCTCTTCCAGGTCAACTCTCTGCTGTGGCCCGGGAGTGCAGTGGAGGATGGCCCAAGTGCTTGGGCTCTGCACCCCATGGGAGACCAGGAGAAGCACCTGGCTCCTGCCTTCAGATCAGTGCAGTGCGCCGGCCGCAGTGCGCTAGCTGCAGCAGCCATTGGAGGGTGAACCAACGGTAAAGGAAGACCTTTCTCTCTGTCTCTCTCTCTCTCACTGTCAACTCTGCCTGTCAAAAACAAAAACAAAAACAAAAAAGAGTAATGGGACCATCAATAATGAAAGACTGCATCGGCAGTAACAGTATCATTACAATGGTTACTTACTTATATTCATTTATTATTTTTTAAAGATTCGTTTATTTATTTGAAAGAGTTTATATATATATATATATATAGAGAGAGAGAGAGAGAGAGAGAGAGAGAATCTTCCATCTGCTGGTTCACTCCCTAGACAGCTGCAATAGGCAGGGCTGGGCCAGGCTGAAGCCAGGAGCCAGAAGCTTATTCCAGGTCACCCATGTGGGTAGCAGGGGCCCAAACACTTGGGCTATACTCCACTGCTTTTCCAAGGCCATTAGCAGGAAGCTGGATCAGAAGTGGAGCAACCGGGACATGAACCCAGTGTGTATATGGGATTCCACCATCAAAGGTGGCAGCTTTATCCATTATGCCACAAGCCCAGCTTCTAAGACACACTTATTTTTTTTTTTTTTTTTGACAGGCAGAGTGGACAGTGACAGAGAGAGAGACAGAGAGAAAGGTCTTCCTTTGCCGTTGGTTCACCCTTCAATGACCGCTGCGGCTGGCGCGCTGCGGCCAGCGCACCGCACTGATCGGAAGCCGGGAGCCAGGTGCTTCTCCTGCTCTCCCATGGGCTGCAGGACCCAAGCACTTGGGCCATCCTCCACTGCACTCCCGGGCCACAGCAGAGAGCTGGCCTGGAAGAGAGGCAACTGGGACAGAATCCGGCGCCCTGACCGGGACTAGCACCTGGTGTGCCGGCGCCACAAGGCGGAGGATTATCGGCGCTGGCCAGACACACATCTTAACCACTGGGCAAAACACCTACTCAGGATTTTTTTTTTAAATAATAAAAAAGTTGTTTATTTAAAAAAAAATGCTAAGTGGAAGAAGCCAGACACAAAAGGTCACTTTAGGTGTGATTCCACTCGTGAAATATCCAGAATAGGTAGTCACAGGGACAAAAAGCAGATTGGTGCTTGCCGGGGGCTGGGAGGGACAAATGGGGATTCATTGCTTAATGGGAAAAAGGTTTCTGTTTGGGATGATGATAACATTTTGAAACTAGATAGAAATGATTGCTATACATTATGAATATACTAAATGCCAGTAAGTTGTGTATTTTAAATGGCTTACTTTATGTTCTGTGAGTTTTACCTCAGTTAAAAAATTCAAGAAACATGTGTCCTTAAAAATAACCAAAACCAAATGATTTTTAAAAGATTTATTTATTTACTTGAAAGGCGGAGTTATATATAGAGAAGGAGAAACAGAGAGACAGAGAGAGAGATCTTATATCTGCTGGTTCATCCCCCAAATGGCTGGAGCTGGGCCAATCCGGAGCCAGGAACCAGGAGCTTCATCCAGGGGCTCAAGGACTTGGGTCATCCTCTGCTGCTTTCCCAGGCTCATAGCAAGCAGCGGATCGGAATTGGAGCAGCTAGGACTCAAACTGGTGCCCAGATGGGATGCCAGTGCTGCAGCCCATGGCTTTAACCTGCTGCACCACAGCACTGGAACCCTCACCCCAAATTAATTTTTAAAAAGTAGGAAGGTGCTTCTAGAGTTCCTGCTATATGTGTGAAATTTATACTGAATCTCAAAGCCTTGGTATGAATGGTAGGATGTTGAATATCTCAGTAGTGATATTTTGATAGTGATTATTTATTTGAATGACATTTTTTGAATATTTTGCATTAAATGAAATCTATTAATGAATTTTAAAAAGATTTTTATTTATATATTTGAAAGGCAGAGTTATAGAGAGGCAGAGAGAGAGAGAAAGAGAGAGAGAGAGAAAGAGAGAGAGAGAGAGGTCTTCCATCCATTGGTTCACTCTCCAGATGGCTACAACAGCTGGAGCTGTGCTGATCCAAAGCCAGGAGCCAGGATCTTCCTCCGGGTCTCCCATGTGGGTGGGTGCAGGGGCCCAAGCAGTTGGGCCATCCTCCACTCCTTCCTAGGCCACAGCAGGGAGCTGGATCAGAAGTGGAGCAGCCAGGACAAAGGCTGGCATCTACATGGGATACCGGTGCTGCAAGCGGAGGCTTAGCCTACTACACCATAGTGCAAGCCCCCAGAGAGAATCTTCCATTGGTTGGTTCACTCCTTAAATGGCCACAATGGCCAGGCCTGGGTCAGGCCAAAGCCAGGAGCCAGGAACTTCATCTGGGTCTCCCACATGGGTGTAGGGACCCAAGGACTTGGGCCATCCTTTACTGCTTTCCCAGGCACATTAGCAGGGAGCTGGATTGGAAGTGAGGCAGCCAGGACACAGGCCAGCACGCTTAGGGGATGACGGTATCGCAGGGGCGGTGGCTTTACTCACTACGCTGGTCCCGGTTACAAGGATTTTTAGACTCATTTTCCCTAACTGGTGTGAGGGGACTAGCAGTGCCCTGTGACAATCAGATGGATGCTGTGGTCTTCTCTCTAGGAAAAACCCAAGTCTGTAATTTTCTGAGAGTTCAGACATGCCTTGCAGCCCACCCAGGTGAAGAAACCATGCATGATAGGACTACGGAAGGGTTCAAATCCTTTCTGGTGCTGAAGCAGATGCCTCAGTCCCTTGGGATCGGACCACTTCTGAGGCTGTGGTCAGGGACGGTGGCTGAGGAAGTTGACTGCTCTGTTTTTGAGGAGATAAGGTTGGGGGTGGTAACACCCCAGTCCACCCTTGCTTCTCTCCCCTAGCCTGGCTCTGTCCATGCCTACCCCGGCGGCTTCTCCCTGAGTCTTCCTGAAGATCAGCCAGCTGCACAACTCCCCTTCCTTAATTTCCCTTGCAGACAAGAGCTGGGGTCCCAGGCTGCCTACACTTCTCCTTTAAGAATATTGCGTTAAGCTGCTGCATCACACAGAAAGGTGTTCAAGCTTAGACTTTAAGGGCTGGGGAGCGGCCAGCCCAGGGCGCTGCCAGGTTACGTCTCAGGAATCCTCAGCAACCTGGGAACCTGCATCTGCCTTGCGGCCTCCTCCTTGCTCTAGAGTTTCAGGCAATCCTTTATTTTTTTTTTAGATTTATTTGTTTACTTGAAAGTCAGAGTTACACAGAGAGAGAAGGAGAGGCAGAGAGAGAGGCCTTCCATCCACTGGTTCACTCCCCAGATGACCGCAATGGCCAATCTGAAGCCAGGAGCCAGGAGCTTCTTCCAGGTCTCCCATTCAGGCTCAGGGGTCCAAGCACTTGGGCCATCTTCTACTGCCTTCCCAGGCCACAGCAGAGATGTGGATCAGAAGAGGAGCAGCCGGGTCTCAAACTGGTGCCCATATGGGATGCTAGCATTGCAGGTGGCTCCTTTACTCACTATGCCACAGCTCTGGCCCCTCAGGCAATCCTTAAGATGCAATTGGGGGAGCCGGTGCTGTGGCTCACTTGGTTAATCCTCCACCTATGGTGCCAGCATCCCATATGGGTGCCGGTTCTAGTCCCAGTCGCTTCTCTTCCAGTCCAGCTCTCTGCTGTGGCCCGGGAGGGCAGTGGAGGATGGCCCAGGTGCTTGGGCTCCTGTACCCACATGGGAGACCAGGAGGAAGCACCTGGCTCCTGGCTTCGGATTGGCGCAGCGCCAGTCATAGTGGCCATTTGGGGGTGAACCAAAGAAGGAAGACTTTTCTCTCTGTCTCTCTCTCACTGTCTAGCTCTGTCTGTAAAAAAAAAAAAAAAAAAAAATGCAGTCGGGGGTTATTGGTACAATTCCCTCTATCTTTTTGTTATTGAATTTTCCACAATGGAATGTTTAACAACATAGCATTTGAGTTTTTTTTTTCTCTGGGGTGGAGCTCAGCTTCCTTTCCTGCCCAGTTCAAAGGGCTGGCAGCTCCTCTTCCCAGTTAATTAGTTAGTTTTGTACCAAGTGAAATATCAATTCACATGGATTTTTAAATTTATTTTATACTTCTTATTAAAACAAACATTTGATTCAGCAGCTTTTGCAGTTGAGGTAGAGATCATAATTCTACTTTAACAATGTAACGAATAGTCAGGTTTATGAAGCACAGGACCTTCGTGCACAATGGCACTGCATTCCTGTGAACAATGAGAGCCAGAGCCACTGCGGAGGGAGGGATCGGGAAAGATTTCTGGGGTACTTTCGCCATCTTGTGGCTCTTTTGGGGTATTACTATGGAATGAAGCCTTCCCAACTCCTAATCATCTCAAAACTCACTATAACTCCTCTAAATTATGCCACCCCTTTCTGGACACAGGCTGTCTTCTGTCTTCCTGTATTTTTTCAAGCATCTGTATGCCTTTCTTTTTCTCTCTCCCCTCAGCAGCTCATTCTTCTTGTGAGATGTCTGATCTTAAAGTTAAAAAAAAAAAACTGTCCAATGTGATAA